TTTAATTATATTTTCTGGAGGTTTAAATTGGTGGGGTCAAACTGAACTCAGGTATAAAAGATGTCAGTAAATGTGAAGGTAATAGGAGGGTTAAGTTTGAACACACTTTATAATTCACATAATTATAAATAATAAGTCCCTGTAAGTGTCTTGTATGTGTCATGTGTCCACCATCTGTCCTATGAGACGTATTGTCAGTGTGAATGTATACACACTGCACAAAGACAAGAGTGTCGATGTTATGTTCCAGTGCAGCTGTAAGCTCTGGATGTCTTGTGTGGACACCAGCTGCTGTATGTGACACAGTGTCTTACCTTGAAACTGGGGATGGTTCGGGGGCTGGTGGGAGATGGTGTGGAGGACTTGGTGGACTTAGGAGCTGAGATGTGGCTCATTGAGATTCCATTTACTGTAAAGAGAGAACAGGAAGGAGAAGTGTAAGGGCAGGTGAAAGAGGCAATCTGATAATAACTTGAACTGTATTTATGTTTGTATTAATATGTAGACATGAATAAAACTAAAGACACCAGTACTTCCAGGTGATCTGTGGTTCTTCTATTACATATTAACTGTACATCACTGGACCTCACTGTAACTCACTCACAAATTCACACATTCAGGTTTAGAATTCGGCAGAATAACACCTGCTGTAAACACTGCTTTACATTATCAGCAGATTTCTTTTGATTTTTTTTTCTTTAGTTTAAAATTAGTCATTTAAATAACCATAATAAATAACACTGTAAGGTCTATTTAGTATAAAGAATTTAAATATTGTATAATTGTGAAGAGTTTTAACCATAATATTTACATTACACATTTAAATTAAGATCCTGAATTACAACGTAGGGTCTTAACCTTAATATTTACTTATTTGGTAAATTAAATTATTTTTTCTCTACTACAAAGCATTCTGGCTCAATGAGTGTTGTTTTAAATGTACTAAAAAAAAAATAACAGTGACTTGACTTGACTCATGTACATTATCTACAAGCAGTTAAAGGAGCCATTTTATCTGAAATCATAGTTTTTTTGTTTTTTTTAAAGAACATAATCCTATGTCCCCAATGTGTCTAGAGACCAATAGCATATGAGAACAAGGCCTTCTCCCATTTCTTTCCATTCTCCACAGATGAGAAAATGTGTCTCTGAAAGACACTTTCAAGTTTGCAGCCTGCTGTGATGTCACAACAGGCAAAGCTCTTCCTCCAGGCTTCTGAGCGTCAGTAGATGCAGAGAGGTGAGCCTGCAGCTCGCTTTATCAAGTGGTTGTGTTCAGCTGCAGCTCAGTTGGAATTTAAGCCATGGACACTGACACAACCGGCTAGCACGGTAGAATGAAGGATCCATGCAGTAATTAGAGCTGAAACTGAAACTACACATTCTGGGGAAATGTGAGACTTACGTTCATTTGTTAAAATGGGTACAATGTGGGGCCTTTAAGACAAGGTGCACAAACGCACAGCAGGGATGAGTTTTTATTGTTTCAGGGATTCATTCTCCCAAGAAGACACTATTTCTGCCTCTCTCTCTCTCTCTCTCTTGGTTTCTGGCACTAATACAGAGACATAATGCGTAAACTTTAACTCAAAGTCCTTCATCTGCATAAACCCAGCTGAGCTGAGGAAAATCATTTCACACTGCCTACAGGCTGTGTCTTTGTACTGCTGCTTTACAGTTGTAAGTTTTTGTTTCATTGTAAAGTCACAGTTTTTCTACATGAAGGACCTTCTAAACCAATATTAGACAAGTGAATTATACGACAAAGCATTACACTGTAGCTTTAAACGTTTTTTAAAGTGTATTCTATCTTTTGAGCATCTCAGCTGCTCCACATGAAGAGGGATGTGATGTAACTGTTCAGTTAGAGCCCAATATAATCACCACAGCTGAGGACTGCTTCTAAAGCTGCTTCACATAGAAGGCTTTTCAGCCACTCCTATGTTAGTCAAGCCAGCTGCCTACACAAGCAGCATAGTGCTTCACATTTTACTCGTGCTAGACATGTGTGAATGTGAAAGGAGCATTTTTAGGCTGCAAGTCAGTTTTGCTGTGTTTTACACATGTAAGGACAGGGACTGTGTGTGCTGGCCCTCCAAAACATGAGTCCTAGAACATCTGAACACAAGAGCTGCTGCTGCTCTGCTAACAAACTGCTCATGTAAAGCCAAGCCTGCACTGAAGACACAGTGTGAATCAGTTCATGGCTTTAAGTCAGGGGATTCTGCAGCAGCTGACTCATGGAACAGATAGATGTGTGCAGTGTACAGCAGCTCCGTGGCCTGATCAGAGCAAGAAGGGGGAAAGAAGGTCAGAAGAAAGGGAATGTCTCTGGATGATCTAAACTAAAAATTTATAAACAATATAAAACTTAGAAGAAGCAAGAATATGCAGACATCGCTGGTGTACGCATTAAGTAGAAAAGAAATGTTTGTTTGGCTGTTATTCTTATTCAACAAAAAGATAGTGAAGGATTGGAAAATATAACCATTAATGGGGTTTAAAAAGCTGAATCTGAGTAAAGAACATCATGTTATTACACTTAATTGACCTAAATCCAAAAAACTGTAGCTAGCTATGAAAAATATTGTTCAAAATTCAAAGTAGGAGGCTGACATGAATGGTTTTTCCAACTTAATAATGACAGCAGGTTGCAAGTACAAAATAAACGCAATATTACTGGACTTGGCTCAACTTTCAACAGTTCACATGTTGTGTTTGGAGTTAGCATGTCAACATGGTAATATTCAGTTTGGATCATTTATCACTAGCATGCAACATACAACGCGTTAGAATATTTAACAGGGCTCCAGTTAGTAAGGTGATGCTAACATTTGGCACGTTTGGAGGCCAACTGTTGACCAATACAGTGTTGCCAGATGCGGTAGACTAATTGATCATATGAAGATTGTACAAGTTTCATATTCCAAGAGAAACATTTAAAATCTGTACATATATGACAGAGGAGGTCTGTGCCGTTCACAATACATTTGTAGTTTAACAAGCTGACTGCACTGGATCGCTATTATTTAGGCTACTGATCACACTATGCAGCCTAGCAGTGTGTAGCTTATAGGTTAATATCCCCTAAACTATACCAAGCATAACTTAACCGGTTTAAACATTGGTTGCTACGATTCTTATTTTTGGGCATCTGAATGTCGTATTTTCCGATGGCAGCAGACAGAGACAGGAAGCGTAGGGAAAGTGTAGCATAACGACACACAGCCAATGGGAATCGCTGCTCAGGGAATTTGTGCTCATAAGGTATGCACACTAAGCACTCAGCTATTTGGTCACCCACCATGAATAACTTCAATACATAATAAGAGACTGTGAATGGCTCATGGGATGTCAGCAGAGATGTGACTGGATCATTAATGACAGATCCAAGGTCAGTTTTCCATAAACATGATTTAACCAAATCAGCTCCGTACCATTTCACTGTCAAGGTTAAAAACTGCTAAACTCTGACATATCAGAACTAACACACACCATACAGAGGGCCAGAACATTGTACAAATATGTACTGATGGCACAAGGGGTTGGACAGCTAGATGTTTTTGCACCATTGGTAGGGTTACAAAAAAAGCCTGGGTAACCAAAATAATTTCATAATCTGGGGGCCAAGTATGTCAGCATAAAACTTGAAGCCTCACCTGGAGACTTGATAGGGGACTGACTGGTAGAGTAGTGGACAGGTCGCCTTGCTATAGTGACATCAAAGAAAACACACCAAGCACAGAACAAATGTAATTAGTAAAATGCCATTACAACATGCTTCGACACTGGTTGAACTTCAGATGAAAAACTGAGACTGTTGCCCCTCTAAACGGTCAAACTCTCCTTTAAACTTGAAGCATCGGCCTGCACAGCACTAATTACTCAGCATAAAGTCACCATCTCTCAATACAGCACACAAATTGCTTCGTAACTCATCGGTACTGTTGAGAGTGATAAAAAGGCTATTACACAGGCTGTCAGCCAGCAATGTACTTACAGCGTTACTTCAGCATTAGATAAATAGATTATTGTTTTAATGTGCGAATAATATGTTCACCCATATAATGCAGTGGTTTAAAAGACTCAACCTTTCCAATTACCCTTTCACATGGTAGTATGTTATTTATGTGTGAACATCTATTCATTTTTCAATCACAGACAGTTTCATGGCTCTTTCTAATACTGTGTTTCTTGCCTGCACCGGGAGACTTGCTGCGTCGTGAAGGTCCAGGGCTCTTAGCTGTCCGGTTTGGAGTAGTGGAGCGGCTGTACGATGACTTTAGCACTTTGCATTCTGGGGAGACAACACACTCAGGGTCACCACTGCATTTATTAGACTCTCCCTATAAACAGACCTGCTCTCTTGTCTTAAACACAGAGCCAACGTGGCACTCGCATTCCCACAAAAGTGTTCTGGAAATGCTATGTATGTGTTCCGATTTAATGAATGCAGGTCACACGAGGACACAGAGGCAGCAAAGAACAGAGGCAAACATGGTTTAGCAGAAACAAATGAAAAAGCAGTGGAGGACAGATGAAGTCCATAACATATCAGGTTCCACGTGGGGCTCAGCTACATTAACATTTTAACCCTGTGTTTCTGAATCAGGGTAAGTATTGTCTCTTTTTTGATAAAGCTTTCTTTACCAATATCAAAATCATAAGTTAATATTTCTATATCCTTTTTCTGCAGCAAAGTCAAATTTTGTAGACTTTTTGCTAACACTTTATAACTATCCGTTATAACTAGTTAATAGATCATTTGTAAACTGTTAATTAGTGAGTTATTAACCACTTGTTAAGTGTTTGCTAATAGTTTGTTGACGATTTATAACGATGCCTTAAAGATAGTTAATAAACCATTTACAAACTGTTAGTTAATGAGTTCTAAATGACCTGTACATTAATGATTTACAGCCATACCTTATAAACCAGTCATAGATCATGAACAAGCCATTAGTGAATTACTTACTAATGACTTGTTAAGTATCAGTTAATAGTTTATAAATGTTATTGGGACGTTATTCTAAAGTTGCAACTATTCCTCATTTTTTCCTCATACATTAAAGACGATGTTCAACATTCTATCTGTTGTATGTCTTTGGTAAAATATAATACACAGAAAAGTCTATGTCTACTAACAGTTTACAAATTATCTATTAACTAGTTATAACGGATAGTTATTATAAAGTGTTACCGACTTTTTGACTACCAAATTCCTGCAAGTACTACGGAGGAAAAACTGTGCTCACATCTTTAAATGGTGAGGCACATTTTCATTTAAAACACTGTTTGGACCGTGTCCCAAATACCTTCTTTGATGATCTACAGATCTGTAGAGATCGGTACTGTGCTAGACATATGCCCTTTAAACTGATGTATTGTATAAAGGTGTAAAAGTGCCTTTTGCAGCAACATCTAGGCTAAAACTACCACTGCTCATCATGAACATATGAAACAAAAAAGTTTGTTTATGGTATTTGCTGCATGACAAAGTTGATTTTAGTCAGAGCATGTTGTAATGAAGAGAACTTGTCAGGTGTGTGTTAATGAATATGGGGGTAGGGAGATGAACATTGCAAGGACAGAAGTAGGAAAAACACACCCACAGTATATTTCTAATGTGTTCCATGTGCTATAAATCAGCAAATACTTATTCTACTGACTGATTAAAGTAGCTAAACCAGCCAGTCATTTAGAAAGAACCTGAGCTCAGATATAAAGCTCACAAGGTTTCAGATCTGTTTGTTTAGCCCTGCTACAACTGGACTCTTTTAGGACTAAGCATTACTGACTGGCTGCCAAGCGACATGAAAATCTAGACACATTTTTTGCATGCAAAAAACTCAACCAAAGGCTTCTTCGCATTTTTTTAATTTAATGTACCTCGTCTAATTAAAATGTGTTTTTTTGTGAATTTTTTTCCTCAATATGTACTACACATTTTCCTGTCCTTGTTTTAACTGTAGAGTGTATCCTGGACCTATTTTGCAAAAGGAAGAGCAGCCTCTGTACCTTGAGGAGAGAGTACACTGTGCCTTTTTTGTTCTTTCAAAGACCTATTTCTTATAAGTGGAGCACAAGAGTGTAAGTGGGACGAAAGCTCCAAACTATCTCTGAATACGAACGACCCACCATCACTCATCCTCAGGATCCGTTGACACACTGTGTTTTAAGGATGTGCCTCCCTGTTGTTAGCTAACCTGACCAAACAACAAAAATATAACACAGGATGTCAATACTTTGGACGGGAACTAAAATAAACTCCTTTTTCCTTCCCATGTTCATTCTTGGCTGATGTTCTGTGTGGCTATGACAGTGAATGGATCTTCTGGATAAAGAGGTCACATCCTGCTTGTGTACTCTCAGACTTTCAGTGGGTTTTCAGCACGATGAAGGGGTGATACCAAACAGAGGGCGTTCATAACATGTGTGCAGCACATATAGCACAGAACACGAGCACAGTGGACTTTCTACAAACACAGTGAAATGAAATTTTCAGTCAACATGAATGCAACGTCTTTTCCTTATCTGAGAGCAAGATTTTGTGTGTGAAAATCTAATGTTTTTCATTAGATTCTGGACAACTTGCGAAATATACTAAGTTTAATTACACATGTTAACTCCCAGTTATCCAAATTGCAATAATCTGGATTTAACTGTATGTTGATTTGTATAAGAAAACACACGTCCTGCTGTCAGCTTCCTGAAGGAAAAGAATGTTGCAAGCAGTTGCAAGAGAAGATTTGGAGAGAGGAACAACACTAACGCTAACACACACACATACACAGATGTTTAGTTAGTCTTAGTCAGGCCTACCAGTCATAAAGGCTGTGGAAGCCTTACCGCTGTGATCCAACACAAAGTCGTCCTGAGCGTAACGGTACTTCTCCGGTCCGCACGCTATGAACACATCATCGTCCCCGAAGAAATCCTGCAGGCAGGTAATCTGGAGGAAGACGAGTAGAGAGACACAAGAAATGAATAAAAATGTTCATATTACTTTGAGGGACTAATACTTGTTTACCAGCAATCAGATGTTTTATGTTGCCACAAGTAAGGAAATAAAATGGATAGACAATATTCATCTTAGTTTCTGTCTCTTTCTATTTTTATCTATTTATATTATTGTTGTTTTTTTTATATTATTAATTATTATGTATATGGGAGTGTGCAAACTAGACAACTTCATTGCACAGTGTTAAACTGCTGTTTTTTTATGCTGCACATGACTATAAATGTCTATCTATCTATCTATCTATCTATCTATCTATCTATCTATCTATCTATCTATCTATCTATCTAATCGATATGAGAAAAACGGTAACAAATACAGGATTTTTGCACATGAATATAGCATTTAATTTAATGTGATTTAATTAAATTTAGTTTAATTCACATAGTGCCAATTGACAAGTGCCAATTGACTTCACATAGTAGGGTCAGGACCTTACACTGTTATGTTACAGAGAGGTAATGATTCACTTTGATCAGTTTCATAAAAATAAATTCTGACACCAATTTCAGTTTGCTGAGAAATAAGACAATCCAGGTGAAATTTTGCTTCTTCTTAAGCTTTTGACAAAACCACATAATTATCACATTATTATTACCTCAGGAACAACTAATGTCACAAATAAAAAGTCAAGCTTTTAAATGAGCATGGACAAGAAGGCCCAGAGAAGCTCAGAAACATGACACGTTTCTACAACTGTAATTCCATTTCAACTGAATGAACTGAATCTGCTGATGAGAACCTTGTGACATATTTGAACACACCAGCATGTAAGCACTTGTTGTTTGGTATGTAAAACCTTAATCTGCACAATAACTTCACAGTAATCTCAGTCATGGGAGAAGAGTAGTGGAGCAAAACAATATTTTATATGTTGCATCAAGCAAACATGCTCAGCTACAGAAAAAGTACCTCAAAATTGCGCTGTAGTGTTTGAGTGAATGTGCAAACATGATACTCATGATTTCTGAAATCTGTAGTCCAACACAGCTCATTTACAGAAATCAGTTTCCTTTGTAAAGGCATGGATGATGGTTCACATGTATTCTCACTAAGAAATATTCCAGTAACGCCACATGATTCTGCATTAGTTTACATCGTAACGTATTTTTCCTTTTACCGAACAGCACAGGTTTTGCGTATACATGCAGAACTGCAGTCGTTTTAGATGCAGCCACGGCTGAAACAGAACAATTAGCCTCAGTCTGCGTGTTAAATCTGGTAGGCCGAGGTTGTGACTCTGCATATGTGTGACTAAACAGCATACTGACACAAAGCACAACAACAGGTTGAGGTCAACGCACCCTGACACACAGAATACTGCAGAGTCAATGCAGAGTCTTGAGAGGGAAGCAGTACAGTTTGAGTTTGTGCTGCAGGGTAATTTGTCTTGCTTTTTCTATTCTGTCTCACACTGTGATCGTCATTTTCTCTGCAGCTCAGAGCACTTTTTGTTTCACACCCACCACCCACCCCTGGAGACAGAAACGGGAGTTTCTTTTAAACCACAGTGAGTTGTGCCCACACACACACACACACACACACACACACACACACACACACGCAAAGATTATCCCTCTCTTGCTGTAGGTGGACAAGTAGGAAGACAAAGGAGTAAAATATCTGTTGATTATCCCACCCCCCACCACGCGCAAATGCACCCACGCACTGGCAGGCATATGTACTGTACGTACATGCACACACACTTGAGAGTGAGAGGGGAGGGTCCAGCATGGCTGAAGATTGTGGGCAGATGGATCCTCTAGGGGAGATTTGGGGCTGACACAGTGGGGGAAGAGTGTGTGATTGTGCGTGCAGGATGGCTAGTAGATGAAGCGGTGGTCCAGAAAAGCTAAATGGCTACTGAAGAGCATGAATAATCTCCGGATTTGGAAAAAAAAAAAGAGAGAGAGGTGAAAGCTGAAAAAAAGAGGGAGGCAGAGAGAGAACTCACATGACTAAAATAGCCAAAGCGTAGCATTTAACACCACAAGTATATTTCATTCACTGACTTGGATTGTACAACTATTAATGATAAATAAGACACTTCACATGACACTAACCCTAACCCACATGATGTCAATTACATTCTCATAAATAATAATAATTAAAAAATCCATGTCCATGGTATAGTCTTTTTTTTTTTTTTGAAGATGCAGTGAAAGTTGAGGAGAAGTGTCTGCTGCATACTTTGAGGCCAGAGTGGGCTGCAGCACATTATCAAAGGTTTGACATAGCTGGAGTGGATGCCATTCTTCACATGAGCTCTGACTCTGGAATTTGGCAGCTGATCGACACACACTTCAGTCAGGGCACAGGTGTTAGAATCACCACAGCAACGGGCCACAGGGAGGGTCCGATGTCGAAAATGGACTGTGGTGTAGTGAAAGCCTCCGCGGTGAGTATGTCTATTACGTCCTGATATTAGGTAATGTCTCTCATTGACATCTCACCTCCGCTAACGTGCTGCTTTCTCTGGTGGGTCGACATTATCACTGATGACGCTTTCCTGTATTTTTCCATCCACTCAGCAGGAAGTGGTCATGTGGAGCTCATCGGTCATTTGTCTGAGGACAGCGTGAGACAGCAACACAGGGACTGCTGAGGTGAGCACTGTCCCCTGGCAGGAAAACCACCGCTGAGGTTGACTTCAGCGCTCAGATGACCTTGGTGACAGCTGAAAACAATCGCTCTAATTTAATTTTTTCACTCTCTGGTGGAGAGTTCGATGTGAAGATTGTTACAAATCTCATATCTTTTAATTAGATATAGGGCTGTGGCCAGCTTGCTGTGTTTTGGAGGGTTTTGAGCCAAACTGTTCCTCAACTCAGACGCAGTAACTTCCGGGAGTCTCTGCTGGTTGCCTGGCAACTGCTCCAGGCGAAGAACTGTCCAGCAAATAACCTCCATATATGCTGAACTGGCTTATTTTTCCCTTTAATTTTCATATGCAATAAACAAACAAAACATGTGAAGTGAGTTTTGGAGGTTCCAATAGACAGACTTTGTTACTGACAGAATCAGAGAGGCTGTGTGACAGTTTTAGGACATGAAATTATTGATGGATTAAAATACAAGCAAGACCTCAGTGTTGTAGCAGGATGGCTCATTTTTTACTGCCTTATACATATATGTGTCCTTGGGCAAGACACTGAACCCGAAGTTGCTTCCAATGGCAGGCAGCACCTTGCATGGCAGCTCTGTTGCCATTGGTGTATGAGTGTGTGTGAATGGGTGAATGAGAAACACTGTAAAGTGCTTTGAGTACCACTTAGGTAGAAAAGCGCTATATAAGTGCAGACCATATTTTCTTCTGCAGACCATATTTTCTTTCCATTCTGGTTATTTAACTCCTAAAAACTAAGCTCTGTGTATCAAAGTCACATATCTCAAAGCATTACTTTGTCTAAAATGTGCAGATGGAGCACACCTGCTCACCGACAACTCTGCCATTGTGACACAATAGTAAGTTGTAACATTGGAGTAATTCAGTCATCAATGTTTGATCTGGACACCAATTCTGAAGAAGAACCATACAGAAAGCCCCACCTAGCAAGTTAACAGGATTGGTTCATTAGGTTTGTTGCATATGTAATCCCAAAGAAAAACGAATTTTTGACTTTCACTGGTACATGTCGTTTTACGGTGAAAATGTTCTCAACATCAAACATCAACAAAGCACCAGACAGACATGTTAACAAGATGAAAACCAGAAATACATTATATTTTATGAATTTCTATTTAGTTAAAGACCCCAAAACAACTGACAAAACCAATCTCAGTTCAAGGTCCATATAGTTTGTTTAGGAGCGCCAATGTAATCAAGTAACAACTGTCTTATCACAGCATAATAAACAAGCAACTGGGTTGAGATTGTTTAGGGCTCAACATATCTTAAAGATACACAGAAACACGGAAGCATCCCACTGCAACTGAGTGAACTCAATCTGCAGGTGATTTAGGCAGATGCTCCAGAACGAGCATGTAATTACTTGTAAAATTTGTATGTGAATTCTTAGTCTGCACAGTAACTTGGAACTTCACACGCGGGATAGATGCAGCGTTGCAATGCAATATTTATATCTTGCATTAACTGAATATATTCAAATACAGACCAAGTACCTCATTTGCTCTGGGCTCTTTCTTCTCTGAATAATTACAGCCACAGATACCAGATTCCTTTGTTCAGCACGGATGATGAAGTTTGGTTCACTATTATTCCCACTATCAAAAAACGCCAGTTCCACAAACTCCACATGATTCTGCATTATTCTACATTAAAATACTGGTTTTCAGTCATTGTATTGCATAGTACAGGTTTTAGCTATACATGTGTAACTCGCAGTACTTCTGGATGTAAAATAATTGCTGTGCTCTGTGCTGGCAGCTCACTGATACAGGCCAATTAAAATCAGAGGTTCCAGTAGGTGGATTTTGTTACTGACAGAGCCAGAGTAGCCATTTAAGCTCACCATCTCCCCCGGCTGTAACTTCATGTTTAATAGACAGGTACAGGACTGCTATCGATCTTTTCATCTGACTCTCCAACAGAGAGCGAACAAGCACACTTCCCAAAATGTCGAACTTTTTGCTTTAAGTTATGTGATCCTGTTTGACAAGCAAAAGCCAAGTTCTGCATTTTCACTTCTGCACCAACACGGTGCCATAAATTACCTCACGTTCATTTAAATTCCAACTGAAAATACGGGCTTTAACAGGGCTTCGTCAAATTACGCCCCAAGTCATGCTTGTCCCGGCGCCCCTGAGGCAACAGGCTTATTGTGAAGAAAAAAAAAAAGACTCGGGCTGGAATATTATATATCGTTGTGGAGAAAGCCTCTGGGTGAATTCTCATTTACTTTCACCCCTACACACACCTCTCTGTGTGCAAGGCTAGCACTGCTGTGGCCTATGATAAACTACTTTTCACCCGG